ATTCTATGAGTCTGTGATTCTATGAGTCTGTGGTTTGTGATTCCATGATTCTGTGATTCTGTGATTCTGTGATTCTATGATTCTATAATTCTGTGAGTCTATGATTCTGTGATTCTATGATTCTATGATTCTGTGAGTCTGTGATTCTATAATTCTTTGATTCTGTGATTCTGTGAGTCCATGATTCTGTGATTCTGTGATTCTATGATTCTTTGATTCTGTGAGTCTGTGAGTCTGTGATTCTGTCATTCTGTCATTCTTTGATTCTGTGAGTCTGTGCTTCTATGATTCTATGATTCTATGATTCTGTGAGTCTGTGATTCTGTGATTCCATGATGCTATAATTCTGTGAGTCTGTGATTCTTTGATTCTGTGAGCTGGTGGCTCTGACCTGCCCCGTCCATCATGAAATGGTGGCCATCAGCCTCACACCCCAGCTCCTGGTCAGCGTGGATGAAGGAGCTCAGCTGGCATGAAGGATCCTACTGAATCCACGGCATGAAGGATCCTGCAGAACCCATCACACGAATAAGGGAAATTTAATTACATCCGTAGGATTTCCATCAATGCTGAGCAGCAGCAGCCTGGGTCTCGGGAGATTTTTCATTGCATTGAAATCTTTGTTAATTACCACTCTCTGATTTCATTTGAGGGTTAAGTTTATGAAATGGAATCCTCATTTCTCTGATTTCCTTATCCAGCTGGTTTATTGAGTCTTGGACAGGGGATGGTTTGGACCTTAGAAACTCACAAGCGTCTCACACTTCTGGCACAAGCTGTGCAGGAGAAGCACGGCAGCAAGGGGAGGTGGTGGAGATGTGCAGAAGTCCTGGTGAAAGACAGAGAAAGAAAACATCTCAGGAAAACTGAAAATGAGGACAAAGGTCTTGCTGCCAAATTATAGCTCATTTTACCCCCAAAGGGAACTCCCCCTTCCCACATTGGATGCTGAAGGCAGCACCCAGAGCCCCCACCCCAGCCAGCCAGGGAACATTGTGGTGGGGGGCTTTATCAGAGTGACACCAGCCTTTGGTGCCCCCAGGCTGGTCACTTCCTCATGGGGAAAGCTTCCCATCCTCTGTTTACCCAGGAAGCACCAGACTTGGCTGTAGGCAGTAAGCAGAGTGCCTGGTTTTTATCTACACATCAAATTTACTTTCTTTTTTAAAGAGAAAATAGCCACTGAACAGCCCTTGAAGCTTGGGGCTAGTGTCTAATTCCACTTGAAGAGCTTTGTTAGATAATTGCAGTATTTTTCTGAGAGAAAATAGAACAATCAAGGCTTGTAATTAAAAGCCATTCAGGCAGCTTTGATCCTTCTCTCTGCATCTTCACTTACCAAACACAAATGCCAACAAGGACTCATGGCAATATTTACAGTCACTATTTTTGGCCTTTGCCTTTAAATTAACTCCTCTTCCTCACTTCCAGTCAAAAGGAGGAGGAGGGAGGGAAATGGGGCTTGTGGTTTTTCAACAGGTGTTTCTTTAGAAAGATTTTTTTGAGGATGCCTATATAATGGAATCATAGAATCATTAAATTTAGAGAAGCTCAACGAGTCCAACTGTCAACTCAGCCACACCAGCACGTGCACCACTAAACCATGAAATACCACACACACAGGTTTTTTGAACACTTCCAGGGATGGTGACTCCACCACTGTCCTGGAAGCCTTTTCCAAGGCTTGACCACCCTTTTGGTGAAAAAATATTTCCTAATATCTAATTGAACCTCCCTTGACACAACCTGAGGCCGTTTCCTCTCATCCTGACACTCCATGATGACAAGCCTGGAGCTCCTCTGGAGGCCTCAGAGCTGCCACAGAACAAGTTTATCACCCCAAAACTGCCTCCAGGCACAACCTCAGCTGCAGTGGTGGTGTGGATGGGGCAAGACCCACACACTCTGCCCTGGGCATGGACAGGGAGCTGCCAGAGCCATGTCCCACAGCCCACAGAGGATCCTCAGGTTCCTCAGGATTTCACAGAGGAAATCCAGCCTGGGAAGTTCCCTTCCCTTCAGCAGCAGGTGGGAATGTCAAACCTTGATGTGCTGAGACCCTCTGAAGGCACCAAACTGGGCTTGTTTCTCCCAGAATTGGCAGTAAAGCCAGAGGGTCACCATTTCCTTGTGTTCATGGTGGGACCATCAGTGGCTCACCAGCACCCAGAGGCTCCCAGCAGTCCCAAGGAAACAAAGTGAGTGCTACAGATGTCAGGTTGTACAGAGAAGAGACAAATTCTCTTTCTTGGCTTGATTTGAACACAATCTTCTGGATACCCTTCTGCTTCTCATCTTTTACAGTCCAAGTTTTTGCTTATCCATGTTTAATTTTTATTTTCATATTTTTTCTCACATCAAGATGCTTCTGAGAGCCAGGCCTTCAACTCTCAGTGGGGCATTATTTCTTTTCTCACCGAAAAATCATGACCAGCCTTAGGAAGGCAGTGTGAGACTGTCTAAGACCCAGGAGATTAGAGCTTCCCGGGAGAACAAACTGCAGCATGGCTCGGATGAGGACAATTGATCCAAGCAGCCAATATTGCTGCAGCACGAAGACTTTAAAAGCAACAACTGCTTCCGATCCTCTGCCCTGGCTCTGATGCCTGCGTTGAAAGCCTGCAGTGGGAATATGAGCCCTAATTCCTGTTCCAGGGCAGGAAATGGCTGCCAGGGATGATGGAGCAGAGTCCTCCAGGGCTGTGTCCTCACGGGTGTGACAGAAGGAAGGCGATTCCTCCCTGCAGCAGGAACCTGCTGCTGCAGTGGGCAGGAGCAGCAGAAAGGCTTCAGCTCCTGCCGTGTCCAGGGAGCTGCGTGGCTGCACCGCACCTTGTCACCCATTAACACAGCACTCACTGTGCCAGAAGGGAATCTCCCTGGCTTCGAGGCTGAGCTGACTTCCCTGCTCTTGGCTGGGAAGGGTTTAGGAGGAGGAGGAAGCCCTGAGGTTCCTGATTCAGCCTCCTGCGACACTGCAGAGCCCAGACGGGATGCTTGCTTTAGGAGGGGGTTTATGCAGTGAATAGCTAATGGGGTTTATTTCCCCGCTTCCAGTGTTCAAGATGCAGCTGGTGTGGGCTCCTGTGACAAGCCAGCCCCAGCAGTGGGAGGAAATTCAAAGGAAGGAGCTGGCGTGCGGGGTTTCCCTGGGGAGATCTGCTGCTGGGAGTGGGCAAGCGTCTCCTTGGAGGTGTTTTCTGCTCTCCCAGAAGAAGCCGAAGCAGCCTGGCTTCGGATGCTGTGCTCCGAGGGTCTACCCAGGCACGGGAAGGCCGAATTTGCTGGCTCCCGGCAGGAGCAGGGTGCCAGGCTGTGCGTGAGGCCGAAGATGCTGCGGGGGATGCGGCGATGCTGAGCTGAAGGCAGCGAGTGCCGCTTAGTGCCGCCGGGCTGAACCGCACCGGCACCGGGGCTCCGCGGGAGCCGCAGCCTCTCCTGGGCACGGCAGGAGACCTGGCCAATGCAAATCCTTCTCCCCTGGGAGCCTGGAACCCACACGGGGGGACAAGGCTCGTGTCAGGTGTTTGACATGGAGAAAATCGTGGATGCAGCAGGATGCTGCCATGGGGAGATGCTGAGATGGGGCTGCTCGTGCTCAGAAGGGGAACGGTCAGGGGATACAAGAAATGTCTGGAAGTGCCTGTGGAGGATTCATAGAGAGGGAACCAGACTCTCCTCAGTGATGTCCAGTGAGAGGACAGGAGACACGAATTGAAGCATGGAAAATTCCATTAAATCATAGGAAGGAAATTCACTGCTAGGGTGGTGAAGTACAGGAACAGGTTGTCCACAGTAGCTGTGGCATCTCCATCCTTGGAGACATTCAAACCCAAGTGGGCACGGTGCTGGGAAATTTAACCCTGCTTAAGCCATGCTGTACTTCTGTGACTGTCATGTCTTGTGATTTAACAGAAAAAGCTCCAGCAATATCATTGTCATGTCTGAAGTAACTCATGCTGAAAAGGTCCTTTCCCTCTAAAAACATATAGTAGTTTTTATACTTAATAAAATACATTGCCTTTCCTAGAGCCCCAGAGTCAATGAACAGCGATGTTTCAGCTGATTGGGCAGCTTGCGTGAGAGGTGACATAATTTTAGTCAGTTTTCTCTCTCAGAGAGGTTTTTCCACCTGGGAAGCCCATTGCCAGCAGGTGGCAACCATGCTAAAGCAAAATTCCTGGAGAAGTTTTGCCTGGAAGGATGTGTTCTCCTTCCTTGTTCTACCACAGTTAGCACCTTTAACATGGAGAAGGCAACAGAGCGATCTTGTATCCACACATCTGTTTTTAGTTTCCTATAAATGAAATTTCCATCCCGAGGTATCGAGGGTTGTCAGTTTTGGTGTTGGGATGCTCAGGACACTGAATTTTCCTGAGCAGTCTCACCCGGGGTCTCCACCTACACCCACTCATCGCTCTGAGAGCCCATTTCAGCTGAGAACTGCAGTCTCCTTTCCTTTTGTGTTCCCTGTCCTGCACCTTCCTGGGGGAATGTGGACAGGTAACAGCAGAGCTTGGTACCTGGGGTTGGGGGAAAACTTGAAAGAAATATTTTGGCTAAGACAGCCTTCCTAAAACCAGTAACATACAAACTTCACAGGGCTAAAGGGTGTGAGAATGAGTTTTCCAAGCTTTTAATAAGGAGTTTTTGATCTCCACACTCTCCCAGTCAAGTCCTGGTTTTGTTCAAGTATTTTGACTATCTGTGAAAGAAGAAACTTTATAACTGCAGTGCTCACTAGAGTTTTTCTTATGGCTTACAAAACACCTTAATTTTCTTGCAAACTTACCGTGTTTTATTTTATAATAGGCAAAATGCAATATATATAGCAAAGATATGGCACAAGTAGCATAAATTTTCTCTTGTGAAAGAAGGACCAGTCACTTTTTTGCCCCATGAGGTTTATTTCATTACTCACTCTTAAATAAATATGTATTTGACACTTAACAGGAACAACTAGTTCAAAATGATTTCTAATACAGGTTCTCACAGTTATAGTATTTGTATGGTGTGCTGTTATGAACTATTTTGGAGACTCAAATCTTCCTTTTGGTCTAAATTCAACAAGTCAGAAAAGAGGAAATTTGTGGTGGGGTGGAAAATGAACATCCTTCAAAATCAAAAGAAAGCCATAACACACAGGAACATACATGAACATTGAAAATAGTTTCTTTTCTCTTCCAAATACTCATCCTTTGTTTTACTGATGTTTCATTGAAAGTGCTCATTAGCTCTGCTCCATTAAACAATTCTCCCTAATAACTCAGTGATAAAGAACTGAGCTTTGCACTCGTCTGGAAATTGGTCTCCAGCCTGTCCATGCTGTACAGCAGATGGCAATAAAGGACCACTCTGTGGCAGAAGTACACCCCTGAAAAGGAAATGTTCTGTCCTTAATAATTCAGAGGGTGAAATTAGAAATCAGGGTCTGGAAATGCAACTCTGAGAAGTTGGTAGGAGCAAAGAGGGGAAATACAAGAGTTGCAAGTGGGCAGGACAAACCTCGTTGCTGATGAGGGTTACAAACAGACCACACATTACATGTAAACGAAAGAAAGGACGCTGTGCATTCATTGACCACTCCTCCAGTCGGCAAAGTTGCCCCTGAAAATCCCCAGAAGGGCAGGGACCTGCCAGCCCCAACCCCCTGTTCAAGAAGTTCTGCATTCCAGCAACTTCCGGAAACTTTTCCGAAAACTGTCATCCAGGAAAGCGTACAAGAAAGGATTCAAGCATGAATTGGCATAGCTTAGGCTGGTGATGAAGTAGGATATCCCAATGACCATGGAGGTCTGGGGTAAGTCAGTGGTCAAAGCCACGATGGTGGCCAGGTGGAAGGGGGTCCAGCAGAAGAGGAACACAGCCAGGACTATGAAGACCATAATGGTGACTTTCTTCTTGGCTTTGTCCAGGGCTCTGGCATTGGAGTTCAAGTGCATGTTCCTCAGCTTGTAGAGCATCATGGTGTAGAGGATGCAGATGGTGGATACCGGAATGGCAAAGCCAAGGATGAGGGTGTAGATCCTGCTGGCTTTGAACCAGAACCTCTCAGGCTTGGGGAAATTGAGACCACAACTCTTGATCTCCAGGTCGTCGGTGTAGACATTGGCAAAGATGATGAAAGGGAGGACTATGATGGTGACCAGGATCCAGATGCACAGGCTGACAATCCTGGCTGCTCGGTACGTGCGGTGGGGCATCCTCTTGGACCTGACTGTGGCCAGTACCACCAGGTACCTGTCTATGCTCATCACTGTCAGGAAATAAATGCTGGAGAAGATATTGTAGTGGTCTATGGACAAGATGACCTTGCAGAGGATTTCTCCGAAGGGCCAATAGCGGAGGAGGTGCTCTGCAATATTGATGGGCAAGACAAGGGTGAACAAGTCATCAGCGATAGCGAGGTTCAGGATGAACATGTTGGTCACAGTCTTCATCTTGGGGGCCTTGAGGATCACATAGATGACAGCAGTGTTGCCTGTGAGCCCCACAGCACAGATCACAGAGTAGATCACAGGCAGGACAACATAGAAATCAGCTGCCTGCTCTTGGAGAGTGAAGTTGAACCTCATGCTGTTTTCCGGGTAGCAGCTGTTGCCTGCGTTGCTGCAGGAGCTGTTCAGATCATCCCAAAAGGAGATGTTTCCCATGCCTATTGATCACAGACCACCCTCAGATACCACTGAAAGCCTCGCTAGCCCAGAAGTGAGAGGTTTTTTGTTTGGTTGGGTTTTTTCCCCCTCCTGTGAGAAGCAGCTGTTACCTCATTTAGATGCAGCGTATTTTCAAAGGTGAGTTGTGAGGCTTCATGGACCACCTAACCTACCTCTCCCCCCTGTTGGAGAAGTTAGATTTTGAAGTGATGAGGGGAGAAAAAAATGTTTGGAAGACATAAGGCTCCATGAACCAAGAAATCAAGAGAAGAATGACTTTCTAAATAAGTCAAGGAACTCTTCTTTCCGAGAGCATTCCGGTGAGCTTTGGCTTTTCTTTGCTGGGGGAGCTGAGTGGCTCCTGTTCAGCTGTCTGCAGTGACAGTTCTTCTGGGGCTGGCAGGAACAAGGAGGCAGAAGGGGGAATTTCGTGCCTGGCTGGCTGTTCACAGCCCTTGGAGCACCGGAGGGATGGCTGCTGTTTCTCTGGCACAGCTCTCGCTTTCGGTGCCGGAGCAGAAGCGTTCCAGTGGTTAATTAGCGCCTGCCTTTGTGTCGGAGTTCAGGCTCTTCACGGACTGGGATTTCACAAACATGAAGAAGTTTCTGCTACTCCCCACTCCCAGGGTCCCCTAGCAAAAGAAGGAGGGGGAAAAATAGTTCAGGGAGTATTTCTGAAATTAACGGTTAAAGGGGATTACCCTGCAATCAAAGTACACCTTTCAGCAAGGGTGGGCTATGAACTTACTCTGAAAACCATCCCCAGTACAAACAACTGGCAGCACCCCAAATTTGGCATAGACAGACAGACAAACCTGTAAATCTCAGAAGTTCAGGGTTAATCAGAGATGAGGGAGAAAAGTATCCTTTTAAAAAGCAAATCCACTTTAGAGACACGGCAAGAATCATCCCACCTGTAGCAGTTACTACATCCATCACTATTGCCTATACTTCCAAGAATTCCTCCACAGGGAATAAACAAACAACCGACCACTACCCGCTCTGTAAAGATCAAAGGTTTGGCAACCGGTCCCAGGCTCTGCAAAGAGAAGTGCCTCACTTCTCTTGCCTTTTGTTGTGGCACAGCAATGAAGTGAGTGGGACTGCCGGCGTTAGGGACGGAGGGCTGAAGTGTCCCTTACCTGGGAAGCGGCTCCGCTGCCTCCTCCAGCACCTGCTGCTCGCACTGGTGAGCCTCTTCCCTCTAATCCGAGTTGGAGGAGGGTCTCTGGGTTGCTGACGTACCGGGATTTGCAATCAGATCAACACGATGCTTCTGTGTGTGCGCGTTGCGTGTCTGAGCAATTAGCACTTGCTCAGATCAGGGAAGGGGGAAACAAGGGGTTTATCTCTGCAGGGTTATTAAAATAGTAAATACGGTGGATGTTTCCTTCAGGAATGAGGGAGATGGTGAGGGACACAGGCAGCACCCAGGACTGGCTGAGTGAGGGATGCGTGAAACTGTGGGAAGCAGGGGGTTAAACTGCTTCAATAGGGAACAGTGGCTGGTGTTAACAAAGGGTGTAGGAGGAGGGTGAGCAACCAACGTGCAAAATAAACAAATAGACGTACCTTGCAAGATCTGTGCTGTTTTTGGCTGCTCTGAGGGAGTTTGGGTGGGTTTCTCCAGCTGGGTCTCTGATCCAGCTTTGGAAATTCAGTGATATCCTTGAGATGTGCATCAGGAGGTGCAGGAGTCCCGTGACGCTTGTCAGAAATGCACCGAGGTTATAGAGCAACAATGTAAGATCACTTCACCAGCATGTCCCTAAAGACAAAAAAAAAAAAAAAAGGAAAAGGAAATCAAGAGTCTTTTGATTCTCCTTTAGTCTTTTAAATGTTGCCTGACCTTTGTTTCCAGACAAGGCAAGGGAAAACACAGGAATCCATCACTGCCATGCCTGGCTGAGTGCATTTACACCAGGAGGGCCAGCTCACAGACCTGAGCCAGTAGCCAAGAACTGTGTTCGACTTTGCTCCTCTTCTTTGGATGTTTTTATATTCTTCTGGCAAGATTATTGTGCATCAGTAGCTGGGTGGGAGTAAAACATTTCATTGCACTTCTTAAGGCCATGGCTATAACTGACTTTTCAGCAGATGGGATTTTTTTTTTATGCCCAATGCACAACCCTTCAAGATATTTTCTGTACCTTGGCCAAAATCTAACCAGACACTGGACTTAAGGAAAATGAAACAGGAATTATATTGTTCAATTATATTGCATAAGAATGATATGGATGATACTTCTTCAGTTGAAACACCCCTGGAGCTTTCCTCTTGCCTGTTTTGGGAAAGCTGGTGTGGTTTATAAGGAGTTGTAAATGAAGCAAGGCTTTGGTAGGTCTGCAGGGGGAATGCAGTTTCCAGGAACTGCTGTTGCCTTTTTTCAGAGAAAAACATACAGGAAGGCAGAAAAATTCAGGAGAATGTGATGTTGCATTTGCTGATCTGTAACTATGCCCTGGAACAAAAGGGGTTTAAAGTATTTTTCATCCACAATCCTTTGAGGCTTTCTGGTTTTCAGCATAAAGTATGTCTCTGGGATAGCTTAAAAGCTGTTCTTTCTCTTCCCAAACTATATTATATTGGAATTGGCATCATGCTGCCATGGCCAGGGATGGTATACCTGGGTGCTGTGTGTTTGAGGGACTGGGAGCTGAGGGGGCTGCAGGAACTGTGGTGCTGATGATGCTCCCTCATGCTTTACCCTCTGTCTTGTGCCTTACTCCTCATTATCCACAGTGAACATGCTCTCCGTGCCTTGGTTAGGAAGTGCTTGATTAAAATAACCTGTCAGAGATGAGATGGAGACTAATTAAAGTTCATTGCCTGGTGTGGGTAGAGGGGCTTTTGCTTATATGCCCCAAACAAATTACTGGCACCTGCTTTTGGAGCTCCTTGCCTGGTTCTCCAATAAAACTTGTTTGCTTTGGGGAGAACAATTGCCAACAGATCTAAATTCATGTAGGAAATTGCTTTGCAATAGGAACTGTTCTACCAACAGAGAAAATATTTCTTCTGTGTGTCTCTGGGCCCAACCAGGGCCAGAGGCTGTGCACAGGGGAAACAGATCCCTGTATATTGGTGTGATGGGGAGCGATTGGAGAGAATGTTTTACTTTTCTTGTCTTTTCTGGCTGGGCATCCCTTGATTATAAACATTACAGTGGCATAAAGCCCTGGAAATCAAGCACTGGTTTGAAGATGCTGCTACAAAGGGCACGAGCTGTACTTTCCCTCAGAGCTGCTTGGACCTACTTTTGTGCCAACAGCTCCATCATCAGCACAGTGCAGCAGGGACAAAGATTTTATTCCTGGCAAATCCCTGCCATGGAGATGGACTTTGCCTCTTGAAGCCCATGTGCACACTGTGCATCTTGGGTCAGCTGTGCAAACAAAGAAAAGGCAGCGTTTTAGGGAGGGGGAAATCCCTGCCAGTGCTCAATCAGTGGTGCTTTATTGCCTTCCTAAAGCTGATGTGCTGCTGGCTCCAGACAAAGGCCATCCACCATTTTGGAGTTATAAAGAACCTGTTTTGTTGGGCTCCTGCTGCTGTCAAGGAGTCAAGTTCATCTCAAGGACACAGATATACAATCAATAATCTGTTTACCAAAACAAAATGTTCTCGGCTGGCTGTCTTGCAGTCACTGGTTATTAAGGTGATTTATTTGTATGAAGTGTTCAGGCTTTCAAAAGCATTGCAGGTTAATAATAGAATCAGGGAGTAGTTTGGGTTGGAAGGGACCTTTAAAGGTCATCTAGTCCAACCCCCCTGCAATGAGCAGGGACATCATCAACCCGATCAGATTGCTCAGAACGGAACCATCCCACCTGACCTCGAATGCTCCCAGGGATGGGCCATCTACCACCTCTCTGGGTAACCTGTGGTAGTGCCTCACCATCCTCACTGTTGAAAATCTTCTTTCTTATATCTAATTTAAATTCAACCACCTTCTGTTTAAAGCCACTCCCCCTTGTCCTACCACAACAGGACCTGCTGTCCTGAGACATGTCCAGAACTGATTACTTCAAATGGGCTGAAATTGCTTCTGGCAAGGTAAGTGTGCCTGGTCAGGCTATTTGTAGGATAACATTCACCCACAAGCTGGGATGTCCTCCTGCTTCCCCCTGAAACCTTCCCAGCCTTATTGAGCCAGGCTTAGGCAGGTGATGGTGCTCACCTTGGAGCACACCTCAGGGAACCAGGCAAGAGGTGTAGGTGCTGAGGGGTGACTGCAGGGCAGATGTCTCCATCGGTAAGCTGGTGAATTGTGGGCAAAGAAAGTGCTTTTGAACAGTGATAATTGTCATGGATCCAGGGGCTGGTGACACATCCTGCCCACCAGAAAGCTGCAGTGAAGGCAAAGGGGTACAGGAAGTGATTTAAGGAAAATGGGAGTAACGAGTCCATAAACAGCCTGTTTTTCTCAGGGAAAGCACATATCAATAACTGTCCCGTCTGTCTCTGCAGGGGAGCAATCGACACAAAAGCTGTGTTTGCAATTTCCTCAGACCAGCTGTGATGGGGAATAAAAGCTGTAGCACCAGGAGCTGCTGGGTGGCTGGCTGAAGCTGTTTGCTCCCTGCCAGCCAGGAAAGTGGCTGGGAGGCTCCTGCAATGGGTTAGTCCTCATTCCCAACACTTCTTGGAGACCCTGGCTCTTCTACCACACCTTTCCCAGCCCCGTGGTGCTGGCTGGGGCCACCCAGAAGTGCCACCAGCCGTGGAGGGCAAGGGGCATTGCAAAAGGCTGCCTGGCTCCCAGCAGGAGCTGTGCTGAGAGATGTGTTAATTAAGGGAGTTCTGCTAGATACTCGTGACAGTGGGAGCAAGGACACAGTTCCAGTCCTGCTGCAATTAATACATATCTGTGAGAATTTAGAGTGCAGAGGGAATGCTGCTTTAAACACCCTCATTTCCTCTCCCACTCCCTACTGGTCTGGCTTCAAACAGCCTTGCTCCAGAGAGAAATGAAAATCTGCTTCCATTCCAGGGTGCTTTTATTCTCCAGCATTTTTCCCTGCTTTTCTCCAGGGCTGG